TCTGCCATCCTTGTTCTTTTAAAAAAAGGAAATAAGAAAAAAGTTGATATCAAACTACTATTTGCTCTGGCTCATTTTGAAAAAAAAAAATTATCACAAACATTTAAGACTTTATACATTTAAAAGTCATAGGATAATTCGGGTTAGAAGGGATCTCAGGTGGTCATAGCCCATTTCCATTCTTGCACAAGTTTTCCATTTATTAGACTTGATGCATCGTATTTCTCTCTAAATTATCAGAATTTGTGACAGATCAAAACGCTTAGCAATAACATTGTGATTCATAGTGCCCTGTGCTCTAGTTTACTCTGTGTTTATTTTCCTCTTTGAACACAGCTGAACTGCTAACTAGCTCTGACACAAAATGAGGGCAAATTTACACAAGCTTTTTTTTTTTTTAAAGTAGGAATGTCTAGAAAAAGGCAAAATAACTAACCCTAAATATTAGGTTGGAATCCTCAATCAACAGGACAAGGACTGAGGCAGACACAGATACAGAGCTGATACCTACTGCTAAAGACAGTTAAACAAACACAGCATTAAAGTGTCAGCATGTCACCAGTCTGGGCAGCCTTGTATGCCTCAGAGCCAGTCACTGACATCTGCTGCCAGGTACCCTATACTGCTGCACGCCAAACTGCAGACAGCAGCAGCCGCCTGCTGGAGATCCACATGTCTGCCACAGGACCTTTGCACCTCCTGTGAGACCAGCTTCTTAAGTGAAGATTTCAGCTGTACAAATTCTACAACTTGAAAAACTGATAGTTTTTCAGAGGACGTGGGCAAAGCAACGATGTTAAACTCATCATGCCTAAACAAACTCTTGTTTCTTGAGAAGATAAAGCAATGACCTTCTTACAGCTTGTTTCACACAACAGTTCTGCCTAATTTATCATGCCTGAGAAAGAAAACCACACACACGTGCAGGGCTTTGAGGACATCATTCAGCTACTGGTCCAGAGATTACTGGAGCACAAAGGACATTTACACTACTGTGCTTGAAGCACCTAAACTGGAAGGCTGGTCTGTCACAAAACAGATTCAACCTCCCACAGGGCAACTGAACTCAAAAGCCTAACTTGAAGTGCCTTAAGCTACTGCCTTGGTGTGGATCTTTTCATTGAAAACAGCAACAATATGGAAAGCAGTTTTCTAATTTCATCAGCTAAACGCGCAGCTATAAAAACATCTTATCTGGTGTAAAAGCTGATTTTAAAGAGTTCCTACATCCAGGCTGTCATTCCTGCCCCATACCACCACCACTGAGTCAAGCTCCTAAAATTTACAGAAAACACTTTCCTGTGGTTTTGATACAAACCTCCAGCTGAACTAAACTTCCACCACCAACTGATTAGCACCTGTATGATGACCAGAGCTGACGTCCCCCCTCAGTAAACAGAGGTCAGTTCAGTTATCTAGTTCATGTGCCTACAACCAATTACTGAGCACAACAGCAGGCACTGCAGCATCATAACAGAAACAACTTAAAGTGACTTTCCCCGACATGTCCAGCTGTACTGTCAGTCTTGCATCACATTTGCAACAGCTTAAGTTTTATTGTCCCTGTTCCCAGCTATCTGGCACTATCCACTTGCATATTTGTCAACCTCCATAACTGTTCTTTAATTCAGATTAATGAAAAATGTTCCACCTGCTGCTCCCGCAAAGGGATAATTTTGGGAAGGCGAGTTGAAAAGCAGCTATGCCAACATGGAAACAACCACAGGCAACGGGGAAAAAGGAGGGCACCATGCTACCAGCAGCCATAGCAGAATAAGTCACCACAGCTTAAGATACCCACGTTCAGGCAGTATGAATACCCTCCATAACTTCATAGTCCAACTGCTGACACAGCAACACATGGGACACTTCTAAATCAAACTGCTGACTTTTCTTTCAGACAAGAACAGATATTCAAACAGTAAAAACCAGCAGTCTGTCTCCACACAGTTGAGACAGTAAGAAGAGGTAGAAGCTGATGCTACGACTAGTTTATCTCCCTGTTGCAGCCATCCTCTTGGATACAAGAGAGTTCATTAGGCTGGCAGGAGCAGTAGGACAAACATCACATCTCAGCTTTGGTTCTCATGGCTGTTGAGCTACTCTGAACTAAGATGTCACAAAGAAAATCTGGCTTTGTAATGTACAAAGGAAACATTTGTGGAATCCCAGTTTTCTGTTCTTCTAGTGATTAGCATTGGCTACCACAGACTGTTCCAGACACCCCTTTAAGCTGCCAAAGCAGAAACCCACCATCCAAGAGCATTAAAAGTTGCTGAGATTCACTCTCATCAGCTGTATCGCTCCAGACAGCTGACTGTTTTTTTATGAAAGCAAGAGAACATGTGAGGCTACTAGGCAGGTTTATAAACATGAAACATAAACACTGGAATCTCCCCAGGATGTCAAGTGGCATTAGTGTAATCTGGAAAAAACCAACAGCATCCACTCACTCTCCAGCTGGGCGGGTGAATTCATCGCTGGCACTTTGAAGAAATGTGCGATGACAATGCATACATGGCAGAGGAGCACACTAGACTTAAAAAGGCAAGTTAGTTTCTAGCCACTAGCTACTTTAAAAAGGAAAGTAAGTAGAGAGCTATTTATAACTTCAGAAATATTTTGCCAGCAAGCTTTCGTATTGACAAAGACATCTAAACTCAAATTAAAAGCATAATACAGAACACTTACTTGTATTTGTCTATGGGATGAAGTTGGGTGACAGGTCCTGCCGTCCCATGTATTTCTTGCTGTCGGCGAACGTTCCTGGGTGGCTTTGCCGCACTGGTCACATAAGCCATTTTTACTTGCCTGCCTAACACAGAAGCAAGGAGCAGAGGATATGTGACTTTGTTTACACTTTATGTTCAAAGCTCAGTCGATAATATGGTTGTGTGGCAATTTCTATGCTTAAACTGGGGAAAAAATAAGTAATTCAGAAAAGTAGAATCTGGGACCAAAGTAGTAACTGAACCGTAGCAAATCACATACAGACTGCATACAGTATTTCTTCATGTTAACTTTGGTATTTGTAATTACATTTGCAGTCTTTGCATTGTTATGTGGAATCCTCAGTCTAACTAGTAAGGTTTGTCTATCGTATGCTGCAAATATTATGTATTAATGTATCATATTAATGCTTGTATTTATTTTTTGAGCAACTTGTAAATTAAAAGGAAAAGTATTCTTTCTTGATGACTTCTCCTAGAGGTATAGCATTAGTGCTCAGTGCAAACAAATCACTAAAACCTACATATTAAGTGTCAAAAATAGCAGAAGAGACTGGGTTTGATAAGTAGAAAAGTTAAGCGCAGATTTTACCTTTTGGTTTCTCAGACTGAGCTGAAAGAATATTTTTTGTAAGCACCTTCAGTTTTTCCTCTCTCTGATTAAACAGTCTCAAGTACATTTCACGCCAAGACTCATATTCCAGGAGGCTCTCATTTTTAAAATCTCTTTGGCAGTGTTTCTTCCACAAGTGGTCCGACTCTTTTGTAAACATCTGATTTGAACACAAGGCATCTTAAATCAAAGATTTAAAAATAACATTTTCAAGACTACCCGTTAGCTGAGCCTGTAGACAAAGCCCAGTTCCCTGGTGGAGAAAGGTGCAGAATAAATCATAGAATCCCACTACACATGCTGTCACAGGTACCCCCAACATGGAGCGTGGCAATACCATGCAGATACTGACTTCAGTCTAGAAATCACATAGCTTCCAGTAGCAGAGCTCTGTATTTGAGTTAATGAGCCACACTTACAGGCTAGACTTCTGTTTCCAGCACAGGCTCAGGCCGCACCAGCTCTCAACTTTAGGCATGCAGAGAAATGGCCAATTTGCACTACGAAGTGCTACATGCTCAGAACCTCAATGTCTAAATGCATCATGGAGCTAAAGTCCTAACAGCGTAGATAAGAAATCTACCACATACATGAAATCTCATCCCAGATACTTCCTGATATGCTTTGCAGCCTTAAGAGTGTAACTTGAAAATGGTTCTATTGTGACTTCCCCAGCTATTTCAGTAGTAAATATTGTGGTCTTTTTTGTTTTTCTGCTTATTTTTAGAAGGAGAAATATTTTTCTACCCCCACTGGCTTTTACTTAGTCATCAGTAATAACTCTCCTTTAAATCCTAACACTCAGGAAAGGGAGGCTTGATAATGACAGCTGAGGTCAAGAAATAAATAGGCAAGACAGAAACCCAGTGTAACCCATGGAGACTCTTTATCAAAAAGGGTGCAAGGAAGGCAGAAACAGATGCCTCATGTCCTCTGTGGTTCCCTGAATTTAACAAGGCAGAATTTACCGGATTACATTCCTCTATTCGAAACAACTGCTCTGGTGTGCAACGTGTTAGCACAGGCTCAAGAATTTCAAAGGGCACACCTCCTACTTCATGTAGCGCTACAAAAGAGGACAGTATTTTCAGTATCTGATTTATTTTACCCAGTGAGTAAGACCACTCACCAAACAGTTTAAAAATAAAAATACAGTTAATTTTAGAAAGCACTAAGAGAACATGTGTTTTGAAATCAGGCTATGAAAATATTTATAAATCAGCAGTTCCATACTGACTGGCAGTTATATTTGAGGATGGAGAAAGCATCTTTGAATAGCTATTGCCCCATCTTTACCAATATGCATCACTCCCCTCTCTGCCTATGCAAGGGAATAAACAATTTCTTGATCGCTCATTCCAATTTATGTAAACAAACATCTTGGAGGGAAAATAAAGTCAGCAGGCTTTTTGGCTTATGATTTATAGGACATTATATTTAAAATAAAATTGGAACTTTAAAAAAAGGTAAGCTTTCAAAACAAAACTACATTTTAGCATGGCCGTAAATCCTTTAATTTTTTTTTTTTTTAAGTGCCTTTCAATGTGCTCTGAGTCACCTTTTGTAGGGAGGGGCAATATCTTTTAGTAGGCCAGTTGATGGCATGGAGGAAAAAAAGGAATCTGATACACTTTCAGGCACAGCCTACTACAAATCCCTTAAAGTACTCACAATCAATACTATTTTGAAGCACACGGATGCACTGTTCATACAGCGTAAGCATCTTTGAAAGAAAGACTGTTTTAGAGCCGGAGTAAACTTGCATTTTAGACTTCAGTCTCCGTCCTGTGAATTGAATAGTCTCACTGACTTGCTGGGGTGCTTCTACAACAGGTGCCGGGGAAGCTGCAAACAAAACATCAGGCAGGGTTTCCTTTACCTCATGACATTTTAGAATGCTTTAAACATTCAGCTTTGAGAGAAACACAGCTGATAGGACACACGTATATCCATTTTTCTTGAAATGCAAAGTTACTGCATTACAGTTTGGGGCCCTTATATGTATTATATGTTACAGAAGTCCATTCATCATCTAACACCAAGACAGCACGTACGTTGCAAGTGAGTTGCACCAACTCAGAGCAGCCTTACATTATTTAGCTCAGGTCTACATGAGCTGTATTCACATCTATATTACTCTGTTACCAGTCCACAGCACACCATTGACCTTCTCGAGTTATCCTAGCGAAGCCAGAAGCTGCAATAGCAGTGATGTTTCAAGACCAGAGTGATATGAAACCACTGAAACCTCATCAGAGCTGGTAGGAGAACCACTGGCACTTTGTGTTACCTACCTATAAAGGCGCTCGCAAGTTCCTATGCCAAAGCGTGACGTATTGCTTCCTGTATTTGTTTTACCTAAGATAATTTCTACTAAAGTTTTGCCTGCTATAAGGTATAGACAGGAGTAAAGATAAACAGAGCCTGTAAAACGACCACCTGATCTATGCCTTCTCTACATCTGTGATAACCTTCTACAGTATTTCTTTATTCAGCAAGACATAAGAAGGAAGCCTTTATAACTCCCTTCCACTTCAACATAATTTCTACAGATGAGAAAGTGAAGCTAAGGCATTTCTTTGCCACAGACAGACGAGCTAATATAGTATATTAGGAAAGGGGATAGCGACATCTCTACATAGAGCTGTAAAAAACTGCACTATTTCACATTTATCAGCCTTGCATACTACTTACCTTTAAAGTCTGCAGCATATGAGGGAGACGAGATTGAGATGCCTGTCAGAAATTTAGGCAGTGGAGTATTAAGGAGATCTTGGAGGGATGCCACCTTGGCCTGTGCAGAGTCAAGGAAACGTTGCTTCAACATTACAAATTTGGGCTTACTGAGGCTTAGAATAAACTAAAAAAAAAAAACACAACCCTCAAGCAAACCCTATAGTTAACTAGGATAACTAGAATTATTTCTTTTCTGCACTAAAATTTACTCACTGGATCACTTTTCAGCATACCCTTTCATACTCTACTTACCAAGACTACATCACAAAAGGAACCTAGTGGGATATCTGCAATCAGTGCATAAAAAGACATTAAAGAAAAGAGCAGATGTGTTCAGCTAAAAGGCTTTCAGATAAATCACTATTGAGGTCAGAGGCATGCAGTGAATGAGACAAAACTGCAAGAATACAAAACCACAATTAAATGTTTAAAGGCAAACTAAATGGCATCCCAAAAGACAAGAAACATCTTTATAACTGGTCCTATCAAGTCTCCTATATCATGCTGGATAGGCCATTTAGCCTAAACTTTTCACAGATAACCCCTTAAAAAGGGATTTAAAGATGCAGCAGCCTGGTAAGTACAGGTCCCTACAAACGCTCAGCATTACGTGCAAGATCTAAATTGGGTCTTAGGTGTCCTCCAATTGTAAGCCAGGCACTTACAGCCCAAAACTTGCATCTCCCTGAACTTCATTTTGTTATGTTTAATAACTCTTCACAATTGCTTGAATGTCCAAGATTTTTCCTCAAACAGTTTATGGTAGAGTATCATACATGAGCCTCTACATTAATATTTCTCCATTTGGGAGAGAAGATACTACATTCAGATTGTAGATCTTCCACAATAAATAAAGCCTGGAGCTTTGACAACACAGTAAAGATAAAAGACCGAAGAGACCTCAAATTCCCAGTGCACAAAAAGGGCTTCATTTAAAGGTCTAATTAATACACATGTTTAGATCTACCTTGGCTCAGAGGAGCTACTTAAACTTCTTTCACTTCAAGGGACTAGGATAATTCACATTGCAAACATGTATAAGCTATTTTTATATGCAATACTGTGGTTTACTTCAATGCATTAAAAGGAGAAAGTTTAGTTCCAATGCAGACCTTAACATTCCCTATTAAAGAACCACGGCATCTGACAAGATGACTGTGCTATACACAAACAGCTGCTATAGTCACAAGTCAGGCTGGTCAAGAACTGAAGAAGGAGACACGTTTCCAGAGGTAAGTACCTTTATGTTGCGGGTAAAAAGAGATTAGCTGATATGGATCAAAAACTATTGCCATATTGGAAATAATCCTAAAAATACAAAAGAAGTTGATTGTAAACTGCCAGTATGCGATAAACAATCTTTTTTTTTGCCCCTATTATTGCAATTATTGGCAATTGCAATGCAACCGGTATGTCAGAGCCATGCAATCTATTGCTTAAAATAAATACAGCTGATTTTCACCAAAAAGAAGAGTCCAAAGCACTTATTCGTCTGCAGTTTATTTGCTATTATCTCAACCATGCAGTGGCTTACCTTTTTATTGGGAGTTTCTGACTGATCACATTTTTTAACATCTTCCTCTCCCTCTTTTGCTTGTGAAAATTTTGAAGTCTTTTGTGGTAATGAGCTGTTCTGTTCACTGCACTTCTTTGTCTGTTTACCTGTAGAACAAGCCTTCCTCTTTCTTTTTTTGGTAACCTGATCATAATTAAGATATGATTCAAAAGACATCGTAGGGGGCTCAAATTCCTCATCACTAGATAATTCAGCTTTGCTTTTTATGACAAGTTTTTGGTTTGGTTTCTTCACATGCTTAGGGTTTCTCTGTTTGGAAGCATCCTTACTAGGTTTTTCCTTCAGGGGTGATAAGTTTTTATTGGCTACAGAGGAACACTGCTTTTCTGAAACTTTCTTACTGTCTGTGGAGGTTCTCTCTTTGAAGTCACTGTCTTTAGCTTGAGGATTGTTACCCTGGGAAGCATGCTTAGAACCACTGCTGCTACATTCTTTATTATCACATTCTTTTTGACACTCAGAATCTCCGTTTTGGTGGGTCTTTTCACTACAAGTACGCTGCTTATTCAACTTTTTAGAAATGGGAGCGCTACTGGAACTTCTGGAGGCCAGTAAAGATGCTTTGGACTTCTCCGAAGGCTTAATCTCCTTTGAAATAGAAGATTTTGTCTCATCTTTTTCTTTTCCAGTATTTTGTTTTCTTCCTCTGGGATCACTGCAACGGTTAAAAAAAATAATTAAAAAAAAAATATCACATCCCATGCTATATGTGATGCTAAATTCTTGAACAATCTTTTTACCTATATTAGTAAAACTAAAAGCATTAAATCACACCATGTGTCATAATTTTATAAGACCCAGAACTGTGCTCTGCTGAACATTATCCATACAGAATCCCAGAGAAGCAGTTCTTGGGTCCAGCAGTGCTAAATACTGCAACAAGAATTGACAAGACGACAAGTGGGGAGTAGGGACATAACCATCCATAGGAAAACATGCCTGACACAGTACTGCTTGCTTTTAACGTGTTAGATACGACTTTTTACAGTCTTCCCTGCATGCTTTATAACACAGACACAGTACTTGAAATAGTTAGGAGACAGAGAATTTACAACATGCTCTGTAGGTGATACAGATTACAACACATCAGTCTTTATGCTTTGCTTATCACGGGTTCTGGTATTTCACTTTCTCATTGTTTGAACAACAGATTTAAAATGTACTGTTGAGGCAATCTAAACCTTTGGCTTTCTTAGCTCAACTACCTCAAATTGTCAGAGGTCTGCAAAACATCTAAAGCACAGTTAGTCAGGCCATGGCAGTGTTGGCTGACTTAATTCGGAGAAGAAGTTGCATCTCTTCAGTGTGACACCTCCAATATTGGAAGCCTCTCTCAGTCCACAAGTACATTACAGGAAAGTCCTCTATACAACCAAAATCACTGGAGAGCTGCCTCATTTAACCACCACCTCTGGGAAGAAAGAGCAAGCTTCCCACTCCCCTGAAGAAGTGCAGGGCAGTGCCCATCATTGGCTCAGTCCTACTTGCACCAGCTGGGACTTAAGAACCTGTACCAGTTAAAAAAAAAAAAAAAAAAGAGGAAAAAAAAAGCAGCTGGAAGTCTGAGTGCTGGCTGGCTAACTGACTCATACTGGTTGCTCTGACTTGTTTTCTGGTGTTTTATACAAGACTGTCCTAGTTTCACAGAATCACAGAATGGTCAGGGTTGGAAGGGACCTCTGGAGATCATCTAGTCCAACCCCCCTGCCAGAGCAGGGTCACCTACAACAGGTGGCACAGGACAGTGTCCAGACAGGTTTTGAATGTCTCCAGAGTGGGAGACTCCACAACCTCTCTAGGCAGCCTGTTCCAGTGCTCCACTACCCTCAAAGTAAAGAAGTTCCTCCTCATGTTAAGATGGAACTTCCTATGTTCAAGTTTATGCCCATTACCCCTCGTCCTATCACTGGGCGCCACTGAAAAAAGACTGAAAAAATAGCCCTTTGCTGGACCCTCACCAGCAGATCCCTGTCTTTCTTGAACTAGGGAGCCCAGAACTGGACGCAGTACTCCAGATGCGGCCTCACCAGGGCAGAGTAGAGGGGGACGATGACCTCCCTCTTGATGCACCCCAGGATGCCATTCGCCTTCTTGGCCGCCAGGGCACATTGCCAGCTCATGGTCATCCTGTTGTCCACCAGGACTCCCAGGTCCCTTTCCACAGAGCTTCAGCTGGGATAGAGTTAATTTTCTTTCTACTGGTTGCTGCGTTTCAGATTGGGTATGACAGGAATGTCAATAATGCATATTGTTTTAGCTGTTGCCAGGTGATGTTTTTATTTTTCCAAGGACTTTTTTCAGCTTCCCACAGAAGCTGAGAAGGAGCACAGACAGAAAAATGGAATGGCTAATGGAATATTCTGTACTATAGACATCATGCTCAGTATATAAATGGGGTTAGCTGGACAGCAGGTACTTGCAATCACTGCTTGGGATGGTACCAATTTACTGGGTGACTTGTCCCCTTGTCTTGTCTATTCTTTTACCATTTTAATTATCGCTATTTTCCTTGTCTGATATTGTTCTATTAAGCTGTCTTTATCTCAGCCCACAAGGTTGGGGTTTTTTTCCCCTTTTTCCTTTCCCCTCCTTTTCTCCCTACCCTTCAGGGGGAAGGTGGAAAACCGCATGAGTGGCTGCGTGGTTCTTACTACCGGCTGAAATAAAACCACAACAAAGACTCATTTCTCTCATTCAATTTATGCATTTGTCCTAATGTATATTTGTCATTCCAAACACTTTCCTAAGCTTTCTAAGTTGCATTTTATGAAGTTACACTACAGTATAATTAACCTTTTTTCTAAAAGTTAGTTCACACTTACCTTTTATTTTCGGGAAGCGTAAGTTTTTTCCACTGTTTTATCAGTGTTTTAGCTACATTCCCAGCAGTGGCATGTTTCCTAAAACTGTTAACTGTCTTGCCTATGCCAGTTTCCTGTTGAAGATAGTGCAAGAAAGATGAGCAGAATAAATCACAACAAACATACTAAACAAAATCTTCTCTAAAACTGCTACAAACAGTATTAGCCTAGTAGTCAGAGCAGTCTTATGACAACTAAAGAAATAAATGCACTCTTTATACTGCAAGCACAACTGAAGGAAAGGTAGATATTTATAACCAAATATGGTGAACAAAATGTAGTCTTAATTCATAAAACTAAGAGATGTCATTTTCTTCCATCAAATCTATATATTCCAGGAATTTCACTTGGCTGGAATGCTTACACCCACAAAATGCATACTGCTCCACCAAATTAGATTAATCAATTCAAATTCCCTTTAGGCTTATGCAGGGACACTTTAGCACATAGAGAGCATATATGATGGATGTATTGTAATCTAAAATGCATCTCAACCAAGAGTAGTATGGAGTAGAAGGGTCAGAGGTGCAGAGTTTGCATGACTAAACTCAGTCTCTATTTCAGCCACGGGGGGGGGGGGGGGGAATAAAAGACATTTAAAACCTGTCATTTTCTTTTTTCCCCCAGTACAATTACTTTCACATTACCATTGTGCCTTCAAGTCTTGCTCTAGTGAGCTTTTGTGTTGTTTAACCACAACTATCTTGCAGACTTTGAGTGTATATAAAATCACAGGTTTTTTTGTTTTTTTTTTTTTAATCCTCTACTATCAGTAAACGTCTCCGATTCACAAACTCTCACTTTAAAGATGCATACAAAACCTGGAATTCACTAGGCTAGCAGCAACCTGTTAATGCTCTTGATAACTAGTGAAATGGTATTTTTGTGCAGTCTAAGCAAGAGCTATACATGTGCTACTCCAACATAATCAGCTCACACCTTCGAAAGGAATTCCTTAAAATCACTTTAAGGATATTTACCTTCTATATAATTTGAGCAATACTGGTTTGGTAGGTCACAGTATTGCAAATAGATGTAAGAAATTTGGTGGGATTCTTTCCTGAAGCTGTTTATGTTCTTCAAATGCATTAAAAATATGTGGAATCCTCAGTCATAAGACATGTCTTTCCTCTATTTGACTTGAAAGCTTCCATCAAAGTCTGTCATGTTATAAAACATGCAAGTTTGCTGGGAACACGAATTGTCTGCAGAAGCCCTTTGTCATTTTAAACAACTAACTGCAATGAGATTATTTTGTTTTCTAATAAAAATACATAAATATTGCTGTATTCCAGTAGACATCTACCTGTGTTTACACAGGCAAATGTCTTTGCCTCAACAGGCTAGCCAAATATCTTAATTACCATATTTTCCTCTTACTCTTCAAAGAACTCTTGCAAAAACCCACTTTTCTTCCCAAAATACAGACACATTGCTTATAATAACTTGAAGCTTCACAGTCCAGTATGAGAATTTCTAATAAAAATTTGATAGTATGCAGCTCGGATAAGGATACAAGTCACAAGTATCCTTACTTGGGATGCCTGCTCTTTAAATGCAAGAAACTAACATTGAGCTGCTACTAAAAGACAGAAGACCTAAAGAATGGTTCACCCATATTTGTCTTAAACATCGACTTGAAAGCAGTTTTACAGTGGGAAGAAGCTAACCCCAAGTAGCAAAGTGTTCTCTATATGCTCAGATTCCTGCTCAGTACTATCACTGTTAGCATAACACTGCATTTGTCAAGTTGTATGCCCAGCTTCCAGCTGGCTTTTGGAAAAGGCTCCGTGGTTCCTTGGACAGAGCTCTAAACGAATCTTGATTAAGAGTCAAAATTTAGCACGATGATTGCAGACTCCTGACATTTACACAGCAATTCACTATGGAAGAGTTTAATGTATTATTGGTCACTTACCATTAGAATATCCAGTGACATATCCAAATCCTGTAGTACCTTGAGTGTTTTTATAATCTGGAAGGAAACATTAGATTATTTTTTTTTTTTAATACAAATATTCATAAGTTCGATTTTGTTTTTCTCATCTTCATTCACATGTTTAATCCAAAAGCACTCAATAGCATTAAGAGGAATATCCAGTAACTCCAGGAAAATGTCAGCACTCCTTTACTGCACACCAGGGCAGTGCTTGAAGTCTGGGCTGTGAACCAGTACAGTTCTGCCAACCCCCAATTTCAATAACACTACAAAATCCAGTAGGTATGAATTTACCACTACAGAGATTACAAATATCAGTAATATAGCAGTACAGGCTACATATATGTGCCCACAGTCCTTGTATAGCAGTGACGCTCACTTGTCACAGAGCCAACAGAAAAGCTGCATTATGCAGAACCAGCACCATGCAAAAATCAGCAAGTCTCCCAGTCAGCAGCAGCACCACCAGTCCTTCATCAGCCAGGGCCAAGAAAGGATAACAGGGCTGGTGGGAGCCCAGTTTGCAAAAAAATATGGTTTTGAAAACTTAGCTGCAATTTGTACATTAACAAAACAAGGTCAAGCTAGAACAGCTGTTTTGTTTTACACTGACAAAGCATACACCTGTTACAAAACTCAACATTTCCATCAAAGCAGGAGAGAATTTTTTCAAACACAAAATGCTCACCTTCCTATGAGAAGTGTTTCAATAACACAAAAGTCTCATTTATAAGCAGAATATAAACTTCTTTGGCAATATAATACAATTCTTTGGCAATGGGTCTACAACATCCCCGAGTCTTGCAGCTCATCACACACAAGCAATCTGCCTTATCTTTCACAAACTTCCAGAAAGCTATGCTATGTAGATGACAGAATTAATGTGCAACTGAAGTAACAGCATTTCATAGTGTTTTCACAAAGCCTGGAATACTAGTCAAGTTTTTCAGATCGTTGCCACTTCTAAATGCAATGGCAGGAACCTGCAGGAATACAAAACAGACTACCCAGAAACTTTTTAACTATAAAAACAGCTATGCTAACTTAAATAATTGATGGACTGTCATTTACTGTATTAGATATTGCTTCTGACATGGTGGTGCAGGAGGTGGAAGAGGTAGTAAAATAACCGAGTAGCAAACTCAAAGAAACAATTCACCAATTGCACTGCAGGGATATTTTTCTTCACTGTTGTTTTAAGTTTCATTATTTCTATAATGCATTAATAGTGGAATCCCACGACACTGTATTTCATTGTGTACAGTGGGCTCTACCTACATGCCTGGCGTGCAGTTTTTCCTTTAAATCATCCACCCTACAACAGCATTTCTGAGACCTAGAGAAGTACAGGAGAAATGCTTCACAGCCTGGAAAAACACGAGAAAAGCTTTAACAGTAAAGCATACACCTAATACCAGAGGTAACAAATCAATTCTCTCCCAAGAAGTCCAGCTAACTACCAAATGGCAGGACACCTACAAAAAAGGCTTCCTGACCGAAATTTCAGAACCCATACAAAAGCCATGTGAAGTTCTGCTTATCTCCTATTTCAGAGGAAGACACTTCCTAAGCCAGCAAGTTGTGTTAAGAATATCTGCAATGAAGTTAAAAATAATTTTGCATTTCAAGAGAACTGCTCTTCCTTCTGAGAACAACAGAAGCTCAACATTTAATTATTTCCAGACACTTCACAGGTATAGACCACATATTTCATGAGCTGAAGACTTTTTCTAAATAATCCCATCAGGGAAAAATTGTGTTACAAAGATGCTTAAGTAGGGGAAAAAAAAATAGTAATTGCTCACAATGCTAATGACAAGCATTAGAAACTATGTTATCAGTGTCATGTTAGTTCATTTATTTTATTTAATTAAAAATATATCCCCATTCATTTAATTTATTTTGCAATGAAAAAGGAAGTAACTTGATGCTGACAGGTTATATTGTGCTATATAGGATGACCAGATACTCAAGCAGTGCAAAACACTGGGAATAATTCCATAGGCCACAGGCAAACCCGTATGTGGAAGAATACTAAAAGATGTTTTCATTCAGCTACAAAGAAAATGGGGGGGTGAGCATTTTCTCTTGATGGGTTTTGGACTAAGTTAATTTATAAAGCCGAGTTCATTTTGGAAAAACACATTCAGGAAGCAGGCAATTACTATTCATACAACTTCAAACCAACAGGCTATATTACAAAAGTACCTAGATGACAAGCATGTCCAAAAGCAGTCAAGACATTTTAATGACAGCCAAAGCTTTCAAAGTTTCGTAAACCAAAGACCACACTGTTCATTTTGCTTTCTTGAAACGTGTGTCACATTGGGCAAATTAAGACAAACAAGAGGGTTTCATTAAAAAGAAAATAGAAAGCACTGATCAAACACTCTGACAAGTCTCTTAAGAAAAGCGATCCTGATCTCTCAAAAGCAGCGAACAGCTCAGGCTCCAGTGAGATCAACTGCTATGTATGTACAGGACTGTAACTGTGCAATGTAAATGGCAGCACCCAGCCTGCTGGCAGGAATCACCCATCTCTGAGCCCTTGGCATTTGGAACCAAACTTAGTTACAGACAGGATCAGGAAAGAAGCAAATTTAATTTGTGGCAAACATCAGTAACAGCAGCATTTATCCTATTTGCTGGAGAGTTCCAGTTTCTCTATCTAAGACTAGGAGGGGCTGTTTGCTATTTAAAGCACAAATACCAAGCTCCAATATCTATCAGACTTTGGTGAAAGCCACAGAAAGGTATACTGTGAAGCCTAAGACACAGTAAAGCCTGTCATTGAAACTAAAGAAACACAAACTTTGGCATCATGATATTTATACGGGGCACCATTACAATTATTACATAAATAAGGCAAAAAAATGGAAGTCTTTATTTATCTTTATTTATCTGAAGTCTGTTCTGACCAGGCCTTCAAAAACAAAACAAAAATTGATTGTTGAGGTGCCTCACTCTAACCATATACTTTACCATAGCATTTGCAGCCCATCTGGCTCTTCTTATGTCACTGAACTGTACCGAGTAATTCCCCCCCCAAGTCCTTCAATATACATACAATACATACAATACCCTCTACGGGTTTATTTTACCTTGTATACCACTATCAGCTACACCCTTATGGAAAAATGTGGTTGTAGAGACGGATACGACACTGAATATCAAGTTGCAGCAATCATATATTTTATTTTAGAAGTAGTGCTCTTTTATATCCTTTTACCTGGTTGCTTATCTGTGCATATATTTTAACATTCTCCTTTTGCCCAATCCACTCTCACATCACACTCCATTCAGCCAATACAATTGTTGATCACGCACTGTTCATGCTCTGGGAAAAGCCAGGATGTTTGCCACCCCTTATCTTGTTTGCTCAGATCTTCTCAGGATTCTCCTGTCTCTTCAAGGGTACATGGGTATCTGTTCAGGGTCAGTGTTAAACTTGCATTTTGATCCCTCGGACCAGCCGAGGTCTCCCACAGAAAAAATCTATTGACTTTAAATGAGATCGCAAAGTTTATAGAAAAATTATGAAGAACATGAAAGTTACCTCTATATACAATTCCTGAACTAATCTATATAGTTCCTAAATACTGATTTCTAAAGAATATTCCAAAGCCTTTAGGATTGTTGGTTTTTTTTCCAATAAATGACATTCCAAGCAAGCCCAAGACACCTGTCTTCATGCAACAAACAGAAAACAGAAGCAGAGCCTTATGGACAAACTAAGAGCTGGCACACACACACTGGTGTGAGAAAAAAGCAAAGGTGAAGACAGGAGCAAAAGCAACCAAATATGAAGGGGAGGAGGGAAAGCAGGTGGGCATTTGGAAAGCAAAGGGCAATGGTAATGGACAATGGGTAAGAAGCACGTTGAGCAAACAAAAATTTCCAGGGTAAAAACTGAAAGCAAGTGATGATAACAACAGATCTCAGGGGCACCAAGTTTGGTCTCTTCCCACTGCACAAGTGTTGCTTCATCATCCCTTATACAAGTGTTGTACCATCTCCTCATTTTTTCTAGCTGAGCCTGGGCCCTCAGAAAGGATGGGACCCATTAAGAGGTCCCCAGGTCACCTGTGGTCAACAGACCAATTCAACATTTCACCACACTAACTCTTTCCTGCTTTTTCCCCTTCCCCACTAGCTGCATCTCTCTCTCAAAAGGATCCCTACTATTATTTAGCTTATTCTCTTCTATAACGCAGCCCATGAAATTTCACCAAGCCCGTAACTTCTGGCTGAGCTAGACACCTCATTTGAAAGAGCACCAAGACTCTGAAGACAGCACATTAGAAAAACCCAACACATTCCCAAGCTAGTCATTCCTATGCCCCCAGGAAAGGGGAAAAAAAAACAAAAAAAAAAACTATTTGCCTAAAAGAAATTTGTCTGGTTTTGTTTTCAGCTACTGAATCTAATTATCTCTTCTTTCTGCTAATTAAAGGAGTCTTCTTTCAAGCTTCTTATACAACACAGCAATGCAAACACTAATCACACACTTTACCTTGGTTCTTTAGTTTCAGTAAGTTACACTAGCCAAAGTTATAGCCATTCTCTGGCTGTCTTATTATCTTTCCAGCTTGGCAGTGTTGTTTTTAAAAACAGTCCCCAGAACAGGACATAATATTCCTGTAATTGTCCCTCTAATAGTATATAGCGGTAATAACATAACCCTGCTAAGCTACCCAAAGATAGCATTTATTCCATAAGCCACTGCATTGTACTGCAATTTCATGCTCAACTGGTAATACATCAGAGCTCCGAATCATTTTCTGAGTCAATGCTTTCCAAAATACAGTCTCCTGAGTGACCTATATTCACAGCTCCTAGCTGTGACTTTCCACTGAGCCATGTTAAAATGCGTGTTGCTCAAATGAACATAGCCTAACACATGATCAAAGTTGGTTTCTAGAAGAGTCTCTCTTCATTTGACACAAACTACTTCAGTATTTGTAATATTCCCCTACAACGCTTGCTGTCTTCTAAGTTAAGAGAAATTTGAGTAGCATCATGTCAGAACAGATGCATAATCACTTCCCGCCCCCAAAAAAGCCACCACAAACTCACAACCAAAATCAGGAATCAACTGTTTTCTGATGAGGTCTGGAACTTATTTTTGGTGAGTGCAATTGAAACCCATTTTATATATTGCGTCAGGTCCATAGTATTGCTACTGTAATCAGAATCATACAGAAGCATGTCTTAAGAGACTTGCACATATTTATGAGCATCAGCTGAATATAATCTGAGATAAATTTGGCAGTACATATCTACATAAAGTCTCATCTAGTGGCATGATCATGGCACCATCCTTTAATTCTACAACAACTACATCTTATATGCAATATCATGCAGCTGCTCAACACATTTCTTCATGATCAATGTCAACGAAAACCATTTCATTTACCTGTATAAACAACAGCACAGTTTTTTTTCCTGTCCTGCT